CGCCCACCTTCAAAGACAGAGGTTTGTTTCAAATATTGTGTTCATGTACCCATGTGATGCTCCATCAATGACTGGTGCCTATCGGAGCACATAGAACGAAGTGGCATTTAATCGGTATCTAGGACACCTTAGTCATTATGCAGCAATTGACTCCCTTTTATTCCGACCCCAAACAAGGTTCCTTTTTTTAAAAATACAACACCTTATTTTGACAAAAACTGTCACATTGAGATCACTGTGGCATCAGCCCCCCCCCCCCCCCCAAAAAAAGATCCGAATAAAATCAGGAGCAATATAATCAATCATCGCCTGCTTAAATAAAAACGTCTGTTCATGTCGTTGTCGAGTGAAATAATGTGCCGCTTTACGGATAATGTTTATGACGTTTCACTCTTGACGCCAGGTGACTGTGCGGCAGGGGCACTTCGGAAGCCAAAAGAGCCTTGCAGTGCCGAGCCGAGGGTGCACAGGCATTGAGGGTGGGGGAGATTTGGGACGGAGGAAGGTTGGGGGGGGGGGGGAGTAGAAAATGAGAAAAGACGACAAAAGACCCGGTGCGGCGGAGAGGGTCTGACAGCGGCGGGGCAGGCGCCCCCTCCAGCCTCCTGGCTCTCCTCCAGGCTCGCCTCCAGGTGCGTTGGTGCTGCACGCATACCTGAGGAAGGCAGGCGGACTGCCGCGCCGCGCTGCGATGCACTCCGTGAGGATGCCACTGCATGCGGCCCGCCCGGCCCACCTTGGCAGCCTTGGACCTCCCTCTATTGTTTATTATTCTAGTGGGTAGGGGATTATTCGCACCTCCCGACAAGAGTGTTGAATCTGCCTCATTGGCGGTTTTGTATGCCGCCCCGCTCGCGCTTTCATTGTTGTGCGTGTGTGTGCGTGTGTGCGTGTGCTCCTCGTCTCCGTGTTGTTGTGATAATCGCCATTGTGGGATACGGTACTGAAGGGGGAGAGCCGATGATTAGGAGGAAGGAGGGCGATATACGTATCGCACCCGGAAGTGGAGCGGTTGTGTGTGAGTCTGTTCAAAGCGCCGAGATATTTATTTCCTCACATTTTTGGCAGCGTCCGGTCCCTACTATATTGTTTCCGAGACTTTTCGCATGGCCAGAGCGCCCACCATGACGGCCGCGTGTGTGCCTTTCTGTGCGTTGCTCTTACTTACTCTAGAGGACGAACCCTGCCTTTTTTGCCGCGCGACAGCCAGTGTGAAGAGGACCCACGAGCCTTGACCCTAATGCGTGTCCCACGCTGCTGGCATAGTTGGCAGGACTCGCGATCAGCTGATCAACCTCGATTGTCGTACGGTGATCTTTATTGCAAACCTGAGACATGAATCGAATGGACTGTCGCTGTGGCTGCTGATTCACTCAGCTCTCTCCTGTAGTCATACTGTACCGCATATCCTATGTGCGGGCGGGTTGCCTACTAACTCGACCCGTCAGGCGCCGTGGTCCCAGGGGCGATAGGCAAGCCCGCCCGCGGGCCTGCGTGCCTTACAGTATAACCACAGACGCAGGGCGCGAGGATAATGTGCCACCTGGTATGTATCTAGAATGGGGTAACGAAGGGGGCCAAGTTTGTGCTGATATTGTATCTTGCTCCCCACCCCCTCCCCTTTTCCGTCGTGACGTCCAGTCCAGTCTCCTGAGGGAAGGGCGGAGGACGAGCGGATTTGCGCGTGAATGCTTGGCGCCGCCGGCGTCCTGTGGAGGCAGCGCGCTGCTCCAGG